TTATATTGGATGTTGACTATGGAAGCCGCCTAAATAGTTGTTGTGTATAGCTAATTGATGTGAATAGGAGAAATATATTAAAGTACAACACATAAAACGGCGTGACTAAACATATCACCGTCCAGAATATTGTTCATGGCATTTGTTATTTCAACGTGTTTGTGTAGTAGATATAATTTTTGTGAGTGGATAAAGCAATTCACGGAAAATCTGAAAGGTTTGAATATAAAGAGAAGGTTAAGTCACTTATGTAAATGGGAAAACTTTCCAGCTCTAACCCATACCCCTTGAGCTATAAGTAGTAGATATTATACTAAAGATTTGGGGTGATATTAGTGTGATTTATATGTAGATATCGAGAAAACTTTTTATTTGTGGTGGGTCAGGTCATTGGCCTCCCTAATTGGGTAGGTAATTGGCCTAAAATATGGTCGAGCGCAGTATGGCTGGCTTATCCGTCGTACTCATGAACGAGTACTGTTTGTAGAGACTGGTCTTCTCTAATCACTATGACTGATTTAATCTTATTTCGTTTCTTAAGCAGTTGATTATGTATATAATACTTAGACTAATGAATATAGTGCCAACTGATTCATAATATTCACACATTTCAAATAAAAAGGTTACGTTAAAAATTTTTTTGTTTATTTACATGTATATTAAAATACTTGCTTATTTATCTTGAGACAGCTTTCCGAATGAGCTGTAAAATGTAAAAACTAGTTATGACTATTTAAAAGTCCTTTGAGTTTACTTGATTAAAGCATTTTTTATTCTAATCTTTTGTGCCTTGCAATTCCCATACAGATATCTTCAATCACTGGCTATAATATCTATCTGCCTTTCCATGCGACAAATCTGCATAATAGGTACTTACTTGGAGATTTCACGAGACACCACCATACTTAAAATAATGTAATCTGTCGGTGAACTGAAATAGTCGATGAAACTACAACTAACTTGGTGGCACAATGATCCGGTTGACGATGGTTAGATTGCGTGAAACTATTAGATATGTGAAACACCGTTGGCTGATAATTATAATCCCTATGAAATAAGTACTTACTAGATATGGCATACGGTAGCTTTACAAGCTCTCTAGAGACTAATGTATAACTATCGTATATAGATAAGCCATAAGAATAAAATTACTTGGATAACAACAAATTAGTTTATGTTTATGTTATTTTCTGCAATTACAACACTGCTCTCTTTGTGTGGCTATTGAAAATAAAATTGAGAAAGTAACGTATAAGGTACGTCAGAATATCAAATATTAGGTACCTATTTAAATAATATCTAGTGCATGCGAATTACATTTAATAATAGGCTAAAGATAATACATCATTTTTCATTTCTATTTATTAATGAAAATCACATTAATACATCAATTTATTTTTAATCTAAAGTTCTATTTTCAAATTCTCATCGTATAATTTGTTTTATTTGCTTTCGTTCATCGGAAACAAACAGCGCCAGCTCGCTTATACAGCGGCCATTAGCGGTTCCGTAGCAGAGTCAATAAATCATTTCTCGGCATCTCTTGTCGATTCCATTCAATAGCGATTTATTCACGTTGGTAAGCTCTTCAAGTATGAGTAGGCAATAATATAATGGACCCACAAAAACTGCCAGTAATTTTCCCTTGTAGATGGAGATATTATCAGTTCTTTGTAGGTACAATTTGATTCTGTATTGACCTATATAGTTTAATTCATGACACTAGGACTTTAATAAACTAAATTTGGAATCAGAATCCTCTTACCTATGCTTACTGAGTACTAGGGTATTATTTGTCTTAATACCTAACCAGAAATTTTAGGGCCACCCACCTCTTTAACTAACATAGATCCAATACCAATTGTTACATTGTAAGATTGACCAGCAAAAATTAACTTCAATTAAGTGACTTTGGTGAATTCACTTTATTTCAATTGAATTCAAATGTATGAAAGAAGTTCTCTTTGTTCATCCACACAAAGAAACTTCTTTCCACTAGTGATGTATAGTGTCATCATCATCATCATCTGTAAAACAAAATACTTAAAAGGGTTAAAATAGAGCCATCAAAATTGTCGTGATACAATCTTTAACTCTCAAAACACCAAGCTCTTTTGTACATTATAAAAAAATCTGTAAATATAGGATCGATTGAATATATGTAATAGTCACGTAGACGTATGTCCGGTATACCGTGATCTGTGAAATACTGGAATTAACGATTGGACGTCCACCTGCATACCTAATTTGAATATTCATATCCATTACAGTTAACTTGTACCTCCGTATTGCTTTACATTCCCCTGGCGCGATAGTAATACAAGGTTTTCAGTCATTAAGATACATATTAGATGTCTATAGAATATGTAATATAATACCGTCTACTACCACCGTCTCCTTAGGTATACTAATTACTTAGTACTAAAAGAGGTAAAAAAATCAGGACTAGAAGCAAATTGATCGATAGAATGAAATGCTAATTGACCAATTAGGTAGAATGTAGTTAGAAGAACTGATCAGTAATTAATATTATTATTTATTAATTTAATATCCATTCAAGCTATTTTAATGCTCTTGTTGAGTTGTAAGGAAAGTTTATATGTATAATATTTGCACACCCATGCGAAGCCGGAGCGAGTAGCCAGTTACATAGAATAAAATAAAGTCGCTGCTGCTGTCTATCCCTATGTATGCTTAAATATATGAAACTACGTAACGAAGAAATTTTGAAGCGGTTTTTTTAATAGATAGCGATTCAAGAGGCAGGTTTATCTATATATCTAATACATATACATCCGCGCGAAGCCGGGTCGATAGAAATTACAACTTTAATAATTAGATTTGTTATTGTTTTCTATAACCTGTATTATGTAAAAACAACACTATAATAAAAAAAATAGAATAAACTCCAAAGACATAATTCAATTTTATTGAAAAATAAAACTGTTTACGGGAAATACTCTCCAAATGTAATTGTACAAATCCGTCCCGTTCTAAATGTAAATCGAAGCCCTCGTGGATTCCAGAACAATGGTTCTCTGTAATTATATTGTAAAGCAATTCACTCCCAACGCTCCACAATGTTGCAAAATTGAAAATCGGACTGTAATAAAGAGCCCTGAGTAATATTCGTTGGACACAAAGCATCATACAATTTACCAAAATGTTGAATAAATTATTTTATTAGGATGTTTTTACGCAGACCTCATGTTTAAAAATGTACCTACGTAGTTTCTATTTATTTTTTGAGTAGCTACCTTCTGTTTCCTATCGGACAATACAAATAACTACCTAACCTAATCTAACTGTATAAATAAACACACGAGGGCGTACTTCTCCTAAATAATATTAACAATCGCGTGTCTTGGAGAGTACTGGTACTGGCGTATCTTCGTATATGTTGAATCTCTCTGGATAATCTTACATGTTTCTGAGTTGCAAAATAAGAAGGGCATCAGACCAAAATTAAGGTACGTGAAGTGAAAATATTGACCGCTAATCTGATACATTTCCACATATCTTGTACTTTTTCCAACACCCGACTTGATCTGTAGTATGAAAATTATATACCAGCAAATATTTATAACGTAAATTAATATCTTGATGCTTTGTGTCCATGTTTAGGGAATAAACTAGAGGTATTTTTAAATTACAAGGTAACGAATAGCAGACTCTCTTTTTGTTTGTTAATATTTGTAAACAGTTCCTGCCCTTAGCTACAATTAACTACATTCAAGTAGTAAGAGAAAACGTTATAGATACTTAAATACATTAAATACGGTGAACTGGACAACTGGTTAGCATTATATGAATCCTGTTGGCCCATTAGTACCATTAAATTTGTGTTATCACAAGTGCCGTTTATCTGTCATCACGTTGATGGTTTATGTATATTTAATAATATGTAAGAGTGTTTATATAATAGCTCTATACTTATGTTGGGCGGTTCGTTCGAACGTTTGATTACTATTTTTTTTTCTTTTCATCCATTATTACAGAATTAAAACTTTATTTTCAAATACTTGTAGTCGTCTTCTTTTAGTTCTTCTGATTTAAACATATATTATACGAAATACAATTACTTTCAAGTGCTCTTCGTAGCAACTCACGGTGGGTCCACTGGAACTCAATTAATTGCTTCCAAGAGAATGCCAATCCACTAAGTTTATTTTAGTTGACGTATAGAATCGTGAGGACTAAGGCTCGATTATTGATACGGGTGATTGATGTACGACCTACACCCATCTATTTTCCACTCAACCTTACACCCAACCGAACCTCAGGGTGTAACGATACGGGTATTGTTAGCTAAAGAGTAATTTATTGTGCTTGCGTATTTTTAATGGAATAATTTATACTATTTTATTTTTAAAATATATAGGAAAAACTCTGTATGCATCCATATCCATATCCAGCAAGACGAATTTTAGTTTTTATTTTTCACCCTTTGATGTCCGCTGTTTTAAACTCAAAAATCAATCGTTTAGGTATATAATGTATATATTCGGATAGTCCAGTATTGTTTCGCGTTTTCTTTGTAAGGACAGAGCTGCTTACACCTTTGCGTGTTCTATATACACGCTGGCTTACATTAAAACAATATTTTCAACTAAAACAATCTCTAGTGTCACCAATCAATCACCAAATGATTTACAACTTTTATTTAGACACGATAATATATTGATATTTTCTAAAACTGTGAATTCTTATATGATATAGATCGTAATGCAGAAGTAGGAGTATCGACTAAAATGAAGTCTAAATGTTAAGACACAATTTTACATACTTTATATGTGTATATGTATATATATATAAATCCTTTTACACTTATGCAATGACAATATTTGTCAACAGTGAAAGTATCAGACATTATTTTAGTGATCCACTGAATTTTTATGCAAACTAAATGTCTATGACCATTGACTTCTTCAAAGCGAAAGGAGACACACGTTACGAAATCTTTGTAGAAATTGGTAATCCGCATAAAAACAACACGAGAGTGGTTTCACTAATTTCTTTATTTATCTTATAATACAAATAACGTTATGTACAGTATATAATAATACACTATTGTTACATTCTATTAACAGTAACTTTATGTTACGATTGTTTAGGACACAATAACATAATAATCATGAGTATGATATTGTTCCGAGTTATTTTATATCAAAATAACAGCTAAATTTCAATATTTATTGGAAGTGGAAAATCATGATGTGTGAAACAATATTTTATATTAAATTAATGTTTAATAAACAAGTCATAAAAGTGCACTAAGTACATAGGATATTTACAAGCAATTTCTCTAAGTAGGTATAAGTTAAAAATCTTACCGTAAATATTTGCTTGAACCCATAAATAACATATCATACTTAGTTGAATTAAGAAAATAGTAAACAAATTAAAATGTTTAATGGAGTAAACGACTGAAGTGTAAAGTAATATCTGTAACTAAAATAAATTTAAGATTCCACAATGTGACGTGAAGTATTAAAATCCTGAGAAACAATAACTTAAAAGAAATCAAGAATCATATGAAAAACAGTTCAGTGTTATTTATACTCTCGAACTACTTATATACAGGATTATTAAACAATCATTGGCACTATCTATATAAATTAATAGCAACATAACATTATTAGTTTGTATATATAGGTACTTTACGGCCAAGGTTTTGGTTTAAATAACAAATCATTCGTTGCTCGCATTTCTCATAATAAACTCGTATTTATTGCTAAATTTGTATTAACGTATATACACGGCACATAGTTTGTTAATTTAATACTAAAGCAAATATAACTCATGCATCAGTGCTTTTTAATATTTACACAAACTTATCTACAATAAAACAAGGTACGTGAAACGATATTAATTTTAGAAAATAGAAATATACATGAAGCAAGATAAATTCAATTTTAAATGAAAGGAAAGTAAATAAATTCTTAAGAATAAGAAGAGAATTTATATTCGTTGTGAGACATCCAAATTTATGGATTCTTTTATCAAAATATAAAATATGATTTATAATATGTTACAGTGACTAAAAACATTACGGTTGACGTATTCAATCGTAGCCATAAACATTTTATTAACAATATGAATAACGGTTTTACCATTTATTTTATGTAGTTTTTAAGAGTCTATTACATCGTTTATTAGTCTTCTTGCCTCTTGTATATTAAATATTTTCCAATTGTATTTAAATGAGAATTAATATTTCTTAGTACAACTAGGTACCGCTATAATCACTTCATTTTTAATCACTATTCACCTGGACACATAGTCCCAAGTTGTTCCACGAATCACAGGGTTTTTACCGTTAAACGATCAAACTTATACTAGTCAAGACTTAATTTGTTATAAGTGCGCCAGTATATCAATTTCGGAGGGGGGTTGTATGTGTGTTTCGTTGAGAGCTGGTGACCCTGACACTGTGACTATGACTGGCTGAGCATCTGTGTGGACGATGGTCACTAAATGTTCATCTGGGTCTTTCTCTTGTTCTGTAGGTTTCGGTAATGATTGTATGCTATCATCAACGTACTTGAGGTCGAGGGGAGAGAGAGAAGGTAGGGTGTTAGTGACGGCGGCAGGTGGATCAGCACGAGGGGCTCGGTAGGACGGCGGACCGCTGTATTCGGAGCCACACCAGGCAATTCCCGATGCTCCTCTGTGAACAATAGACAAATATTCTTAATTTTTTAATCTTTTTATGATATAGATGAGATTTAACAACTCAATAATCGTATAATGCTTTGAAGATCAGCCATCTGATCGAATTAGTAGGAAGTTTCAGTATTATTTTTCTATTTAACTTTGTGGAGGTATCTCTGATTTATTAGTAATTATTGTTAATGCATTGGCTTGCAATGTCTATAACTCTCTCGATTAACTTGCATTTCTTCATCTTATGTATTTTTAATCATGACGATTATAATAATATTAAAAAAAATTGGTTAAATTTATATAAGTATCTCTATAATGTCAATTTATTAGAAATATTCGGTTTTTTTTAACTATAAATTACCTGACTAGACTGGCTGCGTTTGATCTGTACGTAGGAGGCGGGGATATCGCCGGCGCACTTCTGTCTAAAAGAAGTAACCTGTAAATCATAACAATAATAAGATATATTACCATCGTTGAACGAAAACATATTATACAATAATTGTAGGGTGTGTAAATCATTGTATTTTTTCCCATTTATATCTTTTTTTTACTTATAGGTACAAGTATTTTTTTCATATAGGACATTTGTCAGCAACTCATTCACATACCTACATTTTTATTAGTATTTTGGAAATTTAATTTAATTAAAAAATCACTAGGCATTACATTGCCTATTTCGAATAAAGCGAACATTAAAATAAAATTTAGAACTTCCCTTATGTATTACCGCCCCTAACAAGTCCAGTTGGCCAGTTTTTAATGACAATGACCATCATCACCATAAGGTAGTTAGAACTTTTAATTGACATAAAGTTTTGCGTATCTGAACGTATCTGAGCTCGCAATCGATAAATAATTCTACCTATAATACGGCAGTATGTGTGTAGAACTTTCAAAATAATATTGATTCAATGTGTACGAGACATTTTACATAAATTTAATATTCAGTCTATAAATATTTTTATTTATAATTGGGATATCTATACAAATAATGACATACAGACACCATTGTTATTCCGAATGAGGTAGTCAGGGGCATTGGCAATTATCGACGTTACAGTAAACGCAACACTTGACATGACCACATTTTGCTGGGTATTGGTATATTTGAATCTAACGTGGCAGAGAGATTGCCGTCTCTCAGGTTAATTTTTGGTTTTGTTATCGGCATTTGCTTTACCTAAGAGTCAGTCAGAAGCTGACAAGCAATATTTTTTTTTGCATCGATCATATTCGATTTCACGACATTGTATGTGTAAGTTGAAGTAGTTAACCTCTAGGCTACAACGCACTATCTATATTAAATCATGGAGGAATAAATAATTTTAAAGAAAATCATACCTGAGCCTATACTCTTGCATAGATGCCTGATATGTAGGCGGAGGTGGTCTGTAATGAAATTCTGGGTACAACATTGCCGCATATGGATGGTGGGGTCTGGCATAACTGGGCGGTAGCCGCGGCACAAGACGGCGACATGAGGCTCTCCTCAACCCGAGCAACGCACACGGAGCGTCTCGAGCACCCAACCGCCACGCTAGACCGGCTGCTGTTACCAGTACCACACCTATACCTGAAAACATTTATATGTTTATTGTATTAAAATTGTAACAGCTAAATAGGTATATACCTATAAATTGCATTTACACATTTTAGAGGTAGCTGTTTGCTCTTCTGATTACGTAATAAAAATGCTCGCCTTCTTTTTTGTCACCTTATGTGCCCATCCGTCCTCGAGATAGAAATCTATCTTCACGTAAAATTTTATTAAGATCTGTATTCTGATCGTGAAAACATAGCAAACAGGTACATTTATGAATTTACAATATTCGTATGAATCTTTTGAAAAAAAAAAGTATAATCTAATTTCAATTCTATTGTCTACTGACTGCTTTAAAATAACATATACTTAAAAAAATATAATATTTTATACAGATACTCATTTAGATAAAAAGAAGTAAGTAACAAACTTGTTGTTTATTAGAAATTTTATAAATATTTTAATGAATATTTCTACCTAGGTATATCTAGATGAAAATATTTCGAAAATACATTCTATTATAATATAACATGAACTACCAGAATGTTCTAATCACACACAATATCGCTAATTAAATGATTAGAAGTTACTGGAAATTTCTTAACTTTCAAATTTAGGTCAGCATACAAAACCCACGCATTAAATCCTAATTTTCCATCTTTCTTGACGAAGCAAAATGTGGGTGGAACAACATTATAATGATCACTAAACATTGGAAACATTATGAGATGGCCTTATACATAGCAGGTTTCGATACATGAAGTTTTTTTATATAATTGAAATAGTAAACAATCTGACGGACCACACTACAGTCTAATGCGTCGCCATTCCGGGGTTTTAAAATGACATCCTGTACATTCACTGCCTTTTCCGAAAGAACCACTTCACGAAGACGATTTTTTTTAAATCTAGTCCGATTTGCTACCTATCAGCCACCACTGACGTGTACAAATTATATCCACGTCTTTAAAACTATAGATCGCTGTCTGTAACAACAACATTATTTGTCCCTAACGCTAATGAAAATCCAATTAATTCTGCTCCAAAACTCATTTGAAGTTTAATTGAAAACTTCGAGGGCGGACGCGACTTTGTGAATGATGTAATGAAATTTTGGACAGACTTGTTATTGTCATATGCATAGCGAATACCCAATGAGCTACCCCGCAGTTTCACGGTTAATTATGGCCATCTGTTACGTCCAACAAAGTCGTTTCGGCTGGATTTATGAATATTAGAACGTAGATATAATTCTTTTTTTAAAATCGCACCATTCAGACAATGGAAAACATGCTTAACTTTGTTTTATAGTGTTTATTAAGTCGTTATCTGATTTAATCAGGTAGAAAAAAAATGTTTAAGCATGAAATGAGTTATAAAGTGTTGTGATCAAAATACTTCTTTACTCCATTTGACATTCAGTGAACACCAAGCGAAAGCGATTAATGTTGCAAACGAATTTTAATATGTGTAAGTTGTAACTGCGTTTTTTTTAAATCCTAATTATAAGTGATAAACTTATTTAAAATAACCTTAATGAGGCTCCATAATCTTAATAAGTTACCAACTACCTAATTGTAACAAATAAAACTCGATAGGAATTGATTTTATACAGATTCAGGAATAGGCTCCATTATCAGACTAGTTTATTGTCACCACATTGCACTGTCATTTTGTGTTAGTAAAATAAATTAATTTGAGAAAGAAACGAATGATTACGTATCATTCGTTTGTTTCTCAAATTCATTTATAATATTTTTTTAGACGTAAAAGGTAATTAAGTTAAATAAAGCTTATAATTAGATATTAATAGTAACTAAGCAAAACATTTTCATATCCGTCAAAATAATATTTATCATAATTATGCTTTTGTTAAAGCTACAATAAACCGCAGGTAAGGCATCAAAAAACAACAACTACTAAATTATATTGTAGATACATCGTAAGTGTTCAATTACTACGCACATATTTCCGATGTTAGTCGATTCTAGTCGAAGAACAATAGGCAATAACTCACCTATCATAAGAAGTAATAATGTGAGAGGTGCTCTCGGGTGTGGTCTGAGGGCCCCGAGTACAGCACCAGCGGCGACCAGACATGCTCCAACGACTCCCAGAAAGAGCACACATAGCCTGAGGGGTGGTCGACCGCAGCATGACTTCGGGGCGTTCCCTTCGCCCTCCGAACATGCGTAGGCTGCCCCTCGACCCGATCTGTAACAAACGTGAATATTATAGTCGATAAAAATATGTATTCATTACAAAATTAAGAAGTAATATAAAGGTTCGGATTAAAGTATAGAGTATAAAATTCTGAAGGCTCCGTCGCAGCTTAATTATTCGTTTATTTAATTCCTTGCAAGAGAAATAAAAAAAAAACATATGAAATTTTAATCTCAAGTAGACGAGTATGAGAAGTATATTACTAGCAAAATGCATATATATATTTAGATATAAGACTACTGAAAATTAGGTCATTAGATTATAAAGTTAATTTAACCTGACTAAATCCTAAAAAAGGATCGAAAAGTGAACTCTATAATAATTTTACAATATTATAAAAATAACGTTATTATCTATAACGTTATTACTCTAAAGGGAACGTCTAACCCAATTCAGAATTAACGTCCTACACATCATAGACTAGTACCTATTTAAAATTTTTACGATGCTGCTTTCTTCGCAGTTTGGGTTTAGAAAAACATTTATGAAAGAAAGCAATCGAGTATAACGTTCTACTTGTAATAATGTGATACTTGGCGCAAGTGGGTCGCCTCGTTTACTTCCGCGGCGCTTTCGGCGTAAACCTAATAATCTAAAGCCACCGACGAGCTTATTCAAAACGCATCTACATATTTACGGCATTGCGTCAAGATTTCCGAAGAATATGGTGATTAAAATTATAATTTGTGTAAAATATTTAATTCAGAAGATTTAATCTATAATAAATATTCTAAACAGAAAGAGAGCTCATTTTGTTATAAGTTTGTAATTATTGTTGTGAGTTGTGATTTTTTTTAACTGTTTTACACAAATTCATTCATTGAACAAATATATACACACATGTGCGTTTATAATGTTAGTAAGGATAAAATATGTAAGATAGATTTAACATAACAAATTTCGGTCTGAATTTGCTTAGCTACTACCATAATTGGGTTGAATAGCCCAGCAATGCTCTAAATCGCAAACGACCATCTCATTGCATTATGCATGCCGCTAACGCAACCGTGTTTCCACATGATATGAAGCTTACTCTCTAAATCGTATTATGAGAATGACAATTCATCTGTTAGGGATAGCTTATTCACCTAGATTAAATTCAGTCTTTGATCAATCTCTGTAATATACAATATAATCACTATTATACATTACAGTTTTATATTTACAATATGGCTCTATATTTCTTCTGTTTTTTTTATGTAAATTATATTAATATAGGGAGGAGGGAGAGGCTTTTGTCAAACAGTGGACGTCTTCCGGACTGAAATGATGATATTAAGATAAACACAATTCATGATTTTATCTATTTTTAGTTATATTATAGAAAAAACCTTGTATTGAAAATAATTAATCATCCTATATTACTACCATTTAGAGAGTTAAATTTACAGACTAGTTAACAAAATTTTAGACTAATTAAAAAGATTAGTTTGTTGACGTATTGAGTTAAAAAAACTTTACATTCGAAAATTTTACTTTAGAAAGGTAAAGTAGACATAAGAAGTGTATCTTAACTATATTAATCTATATGTAATAGCTAATCTGCTTATGAATCTGAGATGTTTTTGAATTATTAGTAACAAAAAATTTGAAGTATTTTTGCTCATTAAATGTCAGCTGGACTCAGTTGCCGTGATGCATGTGGGGGACAACATCATATTACCTTGTTACCCGCATAGCTTCCCTGCTAATGCTGTTTCTGTGTTCACCCACATATGAACTCGTCTGCCTACTTTTTTATTTGCTAGCCGTCTGATGTAGCAGTTTTAATTAATTCTGCTTGGACGAGCTTTTTGTGACCATACTGTGTACACTGTAAGTTTTTCCTTTCTCTTCTGTAGTTAAATATCAACTAAGTTTTATTCAATCAACTTTCTAATTTTTATTTATAAAATAATGTTAAAAAACTCAAATCATATTATGTGTAATATTGGGAGCTAAAGGATTGTTAGTAGCCTTATTGCTAGCAATATCAGGTCGATCTCCACGCGGTCACATCTAATAACCATTACTTTCACTATATTATATTCACTAACTGACCAGACTTTATGCTCATTCTACTATCCTTAAATGATTCTCCGCCAGTGTACATTGTAATCGCAGGTGAGTACAATATTATATTATCACTCATTAACAAAATATATTTCATATTGTTTAAGTATGGAATGACTCGGCATACCTAAACAATATTTACACCGTACATTTTCCTACACGATAAGGGTTAGGTCATCCGACAGCTGGATTAACTAGCCAGTTTAGGACAATGTTTGAGTGACATGGGATGTGGTCTGTACGGTTTATAAATGTAGTACTTACATGGATACGTATTTTTTCTGCAGACTAACATAGGTCCTTGGCAACTTCTATAAACAAATTTTACATATTTCACAAGCCAAGGACCTTGGCTTATGAAATATGTAAAATTTGTTTTGGTCGTAAAAGATACAACCAAGTCGAAAACAATCAGTAGTTTTTGTTATTGAAACTGAGCAACTTTTCTTAAAAAGTAAACAAAATTTGAATTGAAAATACTTTTAAAACCGAAAAGAAACTGCATCTCAAAAATTACAGACAAAGTCATCGGTAATAGCTATTTTTGTAATGTTCGAAATAATTAGTTTATCTGGTATAGTTCATAACTTTATTTATTTATCTCCAAAGTTACAATAAAGCTAATTTATTACTGTGATTAATACTATTCAATAAATCGAAAATAATCGCTGATTTATACGCGCATGTACGTATCAACGGTAGGATATGTGCCTGAATGCACTCCAGTTTGTCGACCCCATATCAACTGACCCCCAAAGGAAGAGGGTTCTTATGATGTTAATAGCTAATGGTCGACATCACACACACGGCCATACAAAACGTACACGCTTTTATCTCTGTCACGCTCCACGATCTTTTTTAACCATTCATTTCGTACATTACCGTTTCAATGTAGGCAGTGAGGGATCTCTGAGAAATACACATTAGATAAGTCGTCATTACTATTCAACAGACGTGATTTAATCATAACGTGCCGTATTACAAAACTCCATGTTGTTTTTGAATAAAATAACAAAGATTATACTACATATATACCTACTGAAAATGTTTGTATAAAAACCCAAGGAATGAATTTTGGTAATTAGATTCTGTATTTATTATGCCACTGATTATAGATATTATTTATTAGTAGAAAAAATAAAAATAGTTTTTGCAATGATATTTTGAATATATTTTCTGACGTTAAAACGGGATTGTTTTAATATATATTTACTTAATCATAGAGCTGATTACTTTTAACTTTTACCACAAAAATCCCTGGGAAGAAAACAAAAAAATAAATCCATAAACACTAGCTCATCTACATATCATAAATTCAAGAACAATTATACATAGCATACATAAAACATTTTTTGAAGAAATCTGTCTAGCGATAGATAGCTTAACCTGTCATATATTTTCTGTTACAACTGGATAAGAACAAGTCTTGTAGCTTTTAATTCTCATCGTAAAAGTTTCGCTCTTCGTTTATAACAGCCGCGTATGATAGCCGTCAGAACGGACAGACATTTTGATAAATTATTGTAGGTAACAATAACGTTTCATCTGCTCGGTTCCGTAGTGCTTTTAATTTGACGAGTCATCGCCGACCTCGCTTCGGTTTTGAAGAAAAACACGATTTTCGTTTCTACTTCACTGGAGACCTTTCATGAAGTTTTTGTCATTGAATGGCTTATAAAGTTTATTAATAGAGAAATTAAAATTCGGTGTTTAGTGACGTTAAACCACATCTATTATCTTTTTATTGTTACAAATCATACAACTGTAGTGTAGTTGATATTACTATGTTAATCTTAAACATCACAGATGTATCCTTGACACAGATAAATTGTATGAAAAATTTTCAAAATCCGCTAATATAAAATTAATAGTATTTGTAACACCCGTTTTGAATCTCTAAATTGCTAGACAACACATTAAGCCATTTTTAATAGTTACTAAAATCCGTCCAACATTAGTTTAGTAATGTAGGACTATACGATAAGATACAAAAAGAATTTGGTTGTTGTATAAGAAAGAAAAGTAGAAAGTGTAATGAGCTGGCAACCAATTTATGTTACAAACTCGATAAAATAAAGGACTGCGATAACAATTTATCAATTTATATAGTAGAATAATAATTCTACTATTTAAATTGATAAATTGTTATTGTTGTAATAATAATGTTAATGTTTGTAATAACAAACGACACGTTGTGGCACCCGTATTTAATTTCGAATCATTTACGAAATTACCGGTATATACCTCAGAAATCACCCTGTTTCTGGATGAAAACGGTATGAAAATCCGTAAAAAAAAAAGATTATCGCGAGTGTATAAACAGACGTTCTTTTACATAATATGTATAGTTTAATACTTAACGATATCGAAGCAATAAAATGCAATGAAAGCTATACAACGTAAGCGATGCCATCTGGTCCGGCGATGGCGCGATAAGCTGTAGGGATGGGATGCTACGAGTCACACGTTATGCCTCGATAATGATGCGAGGCACGCGATATGAAGCTGTTTCCGCGACATTTAGTTTAATATTATTAGCACTTGTGCACATTCAAGCCCGATCACATACCGAATCGGATGCATTCTAGTATAGATAGTTAATTAATATGACGTTGGAATGTTTGATAATCAAGTCGGTATTTTTAAGTAGATCCGGTTAATTTTTTAAGAATTTAAATTGTAACTGATTGTATAAAGACACAAAATATGCATTATAGTTATTGATATAAATCTCGATATAAACTTAGATTTAAATCCTTCTGATATTCTGACTGTCCTTATGATATTCATATTATAAAAGAAGTGCAACACAGAAAATATAAATTGTTACGAAAAGAAGAAATATTTTATTTTATTCAATAACGTTCTTAATATGTGTAAGCAAACTACGAGTATAAAAACAAATCGTTAGAAAAAAATTAAAACGTCTATATACTATA